TGGAAGCACGCGTGCCGCTGAAAAACCTCATACAATAGCCGACCGACGCCCATCATAATTCATGCTATAACCTATGCGTGTCAGAAAACATGTTTTCAATTGTTCGCAATGCTATTTGTATTTCAGTGCCCCGGTCTCAATAATCAACATGCGTGCCTCCTTTTTTGTTAATTTATTTACTCCTGTTAGTGGCCAGAGGGCGTCCTTAATAGGGCTTCAAAAACATTCCAATCGGCCACATAACTGCATCAACATTTTTCACAAAAAAATGATGGTGAAGCACCAGAAACGTGATGAAGGTACCACAAGGACGGAAATGCAGGCGGAATAATGGCTTGATCGCAATCGAAATTGTGCCAATGTAGGAGACGCAGTCCAAATGGCGTGAAATGCAGTTGGCCCGTGATGTAGTGGATTGGCAGCGCGGCAGAGCAAATACAAGCAAACACACGATTACGTGGTGGTATTGTAGCAGGAGGGAACCTCCCGTGCATCCTTGTTGTACAAGCAAGATGTCAGGTGGGCGTGAACCGACACCAAACGCCCCGCGAGCACGATCCAAAAGCCGCTGTATGGCGCAAGACCTACGCAATTGAAGGCGGTCACGGGAGAGCCCAGCGCGTACCCGACCCCAAGAAATTTTGTCGTTTAATTCAGCATAACATCAAAACCGTAAAGTGACATTTCGTAATTCGCACGCGCGGGCCCGTGGGCGACCGACATTGAGAGTCCCAGCACCAGAAGCCGATGGTCGGCACCAGACCCACGCAAATGAAGACAACCACACGTGAAAGCCCAGCGCATACCCGACGCCGGAGACTAAAGAAATTGTCGACGTTTCGTGCATCCCCAACAACCCATCCAGAAACGATGCCCAAAGGAATTGCTTGGATCAGGGAAGTGGGCACCACACAGACGAAACCACTATGAGACATCTTAGGATATCTTCAGCCATCTTGGAAGTCATCTTGGGCTCTCCCAAGCGCTCTTGGCGTCATCTTGGGCAGTGCTCTCCCAGAGGCATGTCGTTAAAACCTTCGTGAAATCAATGATTTGGCATTCTCGCCGAGGGCTCTTGGAGCATCTTGTGTGCCTGGGATGTTATATTCCTTCATATCGGCAATGCCCCGAATAGTTTCATGACAGAGCGAGATATCCCCAAAACATGGTTTCATACCTCCGATTGCAGCTGGAACCTCCAAGTCAGGAATTCGTGCAAATGGAAATCGAGGTCCCCGAAAAATATCATTGTCAATGGAGTCGAAGTCACGAGAGCCTGAATGGATACCCGCCTCCATCTCGACACCATCAACTTTGCCCGGATTGGCAATCTCATTTGCGCGGGAAAAATTTGTATTGCGGGCTTCTTTGGATCAATATTTCTGTTCATTGCCCGGAGGTCGTTTTCAAAATCTTAGGTTTTGAACGATTTTAAGCACTGGCAAAAAAAAAAAAAGAATACAAAACGGATTGAGGAGGCGTGCCGTGTCAGACAATTTGTCGTCGATTTGATTGGAAATGCATACGCAATTTGAGTATGTTCTTTGCCTCCGGAAGCGAATATGACTTTTCTTTTCTATGCGACATTTGAGGAGCGAGAATGCTTGCCATTCGAGAAACAACCACAAATTAGAAGAGCAGGGAGCGAGGGAGGATGGAGAGGGGAGGCGGGGAGGGAGCAAGCGAGAAGAAAAGGCGGCGAGAAGATAGCCTACAAACAAGCAGCAACAGCGAAGAGAAGGCGGAACGAGAACCCCAAGCGAGGTTATCGCGTTCAGCGTGCGTTGCGATCCACGCGAGGCCAGAGTGAATCAGAAATCTGGTGCGAGGTATTGCGGCCCGTCCGGGTGAAGAAAAAAAGACGAAAGTGACGACGAGGGGCGCGATCCAAGGAAGGGCAGGCAAGAAGAAACGGTGAAATTGAGCGGGACTGAATCCAAGCGTGTTGCAGTGCAACGTGTTGGTCATTGCTATTTCTCCGAGCAGGCATTGTCGATATCACAAATATGACGAGATCTCCAAGAACGAGTTTGCGCATCGTCGTTAAAAGGAAGACAAAAAACAAAATAAGCAATAGCAGGCGTGCGGTATTTTATGTAATTTAAAACGTGTGTTTTAAACGAATATTATGTCTATCTGTGTGGTAACGGTTTGACCTTACGATTGGATGAATTTGCCAACCGGCCTCCTGCGGTTAAATGCTGCTTCGTCCATTAAAAAAATTGTGTCTTAGCGAATGCCAGCCCTCCCCAATTGCACTTTGCTGCACCATGTCGCTCATTCAAATATTTCTGATGCAGCTGCTTTGCGCCACCACTGAAAAGCAAATTATTGTGCACACGTGGGATTCGTACCCAAACCGTCGCAGTTTCAGAAGCAGGCAGCGCACATCGACTCAAATCGAAATCTCCAGCCACATCCGAAGAATACAGGGCTACATGGTGGCCTTTGGAAAATGCGAGCCAGGAAATTACATATGACGCTACCCAATGGACGCGCCAACACTGCGGCCACTCAAGCCAAGACATAAGAATAGACAGAGCTTTCCAACAATCTTCAAAACAATGGCTGGAATCAGATCCGGATCCGTGCTGCTGTCTTCCTTGACTGATGGAAACAAAACTGGGCAATGTGGCTCCGCAGAGGAATGAAAGAGGAAGGGGGGAAGCAAAAACAAGAATAATGGACAAATTGCTGAATTCGTTTTGGACCTCAACAAGCAAGATCCATTAGGCAACAAAACAATCCACAAAGAGTTTCGTCTTCGCATCCCGAGACAAAACCCAAGAGCCGCTCGGACGCTGTAGCGCTGAACTGCTGGGCTTCGACGTGCGGTGCATCGGCTGATCGGATAAACCCTACCATTACTTGCTTGCTCTTTTCAGAGAGCGCAAGCGGGCGCGCACGCGGATTGCACAAGCCGAAAACGCACGAAAGCGACGAGAGAACGCGATTCACGGACGCTTGCCTTAAGAACACTCGGCGGCGCGTTTCGAACCAGGGGGTGCGCCCCCCCAACTCTCGGTGCCGTCGATCAGAACCGAGGGGGAGGCCAAAGAAATCCCCTCCCGAAGCCTCCTCCCCACCTCCCCCCTCCCAAAAGGGTGTGGGGGGGGTTTGAAACCCCTCCCCCTCCCCTCTCGGCGCCGGCGGCCACCCGCAGCGCCGACGGCGGGGACGCAGCGACGATGACCAGAGGTAGCCCAAGGGGAAAGGGGTTCAAACCCCCTCAGTCGTCTGGCGCCAGCCGAGGGGGCGGGGGGTTCAAACCTCCCCTTCCTTAGTGCCGGCGCCGGCGTTGGCGGCGGCCAGCAGCGCCGGCGCTGGCGCCAGCGACGGCGGGGACGCAGCGACGATAACCACAACTACCACCACCACCACCACTACCACAAACCACTGCCTCAACCCACCACCACCACCAACCCACCACACAACTACCACCACCACCACCACAGCCACCACCACCAGCACCACCACAACTCACCATCACCATCACCACCACCACCACCACAAAACTCACCACCACTACCACCACCACCACATTCTATCACGCCACCACGACCACCGCCACAACCACCACCACTACCAGCAGCACAACCCACCACCACCACCACCGCAAACCACCACACCACCACCACCACCAAAACCGCCACCACCGCCACCACCAGCACCACCTCTACAAACCACCGCCACCACCACAACCCACCACCACCACCAAAACCGCCACCACCGCCACCACCAGCACCACGTCCACAAACCACCGCCACCACCACAACCCACCACCACCACCACCACAAACCACCACCACAAACCACCACCAAACCACCACCACCACCACCACCACAACCCACCACGACCACCGCCACCACCACCACCCTCATAAACCACCACCACACCACCACCACACCACCACCGCCGCCACCACCACCACAACCACCACCGCCGCCACCACCACCACCACAACCCACCACCACCACCACCACCGTCGTCCTCGTGGACGCTCCCCGCCGCCGCCGCCGCCAGCCGCCGCCGAGGAGAAGAGAAGTAGGGGAGGAAAAGGGGGGAGGGTTCGACCCCCCCCTCCCCTCCGTCGCGGGAGGGGGGGGAGGGGGTCTGGTTCCAACCCCCCCTCCTCCAAGCGACCACAGAACGCGCTCTTTCAAAGAGACCTGGGCTGCACGCAACGCTTGCTTCAAGAAAAGCCTCAAAGCCGGCAGCCTACGCTTCCTGCGGACAAGATCGAGACAGTGCAAATCCAGCCAAGGGTGAGAGCTCAGAAAGTGACCAGCGCTGCTTGGAATTGGAGCTGTCGCCGAGCGCGAAGAATACAAACATGCAAAATTGTTACAACCGACCGCCTGCGTAGTCAATGCCAACGTGCTACGCGTTTGTACAGGAAATACACCTCGAACAAATCATCAAAACCCAGCGATGAACCATAATCGACGCATTACCCATGAAACGCGGGTGTGGCCAGCGAGAATCGGAATCGGTATGTCGCCCAATCGTAAATGCCGGCTTGTGCGCGAATGTACCGCCGTCTCTTCAGAACGTTATTCCCGAGATCGAATCCCGCTGTACTGTGTCCAGGGTCGGAAACCGGAGGCCGAAATCGAAGTCGGGAGCCGATTCTACATGCTCATATCTAATCGAGGTTACATCAAGGTCGGCGTGGGGACGGGAAATCATAGGCCTATTAACGAATCCCTCCTGGATCACAAATTTAATGGCTCAGGAGAAAGACAGGGGAACAAGAGAGAGAGAGAAGAGAACACTTTTTGGATCCCTTGTAGCACCGAAAATTGCCAGAGTCGGTACAAGTAAGGCTGGAGCCAATATTACCCAACCAACCACCGTCTCTGCATCAACCCTGTTTGGAATCCTGGTGGTGCTGTCTGGAGAGTCCCGGTGGTGCCGCTGTATCCCCGCAGACCAATATAGGAATATCGTTTCTCCGATTCGTTGAAGTTGAGGAGGAGGAGGAGCAGGAGGAGGAGGAACAGACATATTCAGCGCAGACATATTCGACCGTTGCGTGCTGCGCCGTGAACCGAACCTCTGGTTGTCAGCGGAGCAGCCTGGGAAAAGGGGAACGAGGAAAAGAGAAGGGGGCAGTAGACCGCCGAGAGCGGGGCCCTTGAAGGCCAGCGCGGGGCGGGTGCTGGAGCCTTCAGGTCGTGTTGTCCGTGTCGCGGTACGCCATCGCATACTGCACAAATTTAAACAACTACTTGCAGCCCACGGCGGGGCGCCCGCGCGACCCGCCCGCCGCGGGCGCAACACGGGCCAGCGGCCACTGGTCCGTCACGGGGCGGCCGCCGGCGTGGGGACATCTGCCGGCTACCTGTTATCGACCGCCAGCCGGGAGAAAAGGGTGTAGATCTCGAGGAGCGGCAGGACGAATGCCATCCCACCAGCAGGTACACCGTCGCCGTGTACCAAGCCAGGACGATGTAGCCTCCGACGTTCCAGTCCTTCCTCTCGCCTCCTTCATACGAATCCGATCTCAGCATCACATGCTCCGTCGGCTCGATTGCGTCCTCTGCGCCAGAGCCCCCGTCGTCTGAGACCGCCTTGTCGGCATCGCCGCAGTCGTGGTCGTGCGGGGGTGCCTTTCCCCTGGCGCAGGCTCGGCAGCAGGTGTCGAAGCCTTTCTTCACGGGCTTGCCGCAGCCCATCTTGCACGCCATCCTCTCTTTCGCTTGTCTCTTCAGCTCCCAGAAGTTCTTCGCAGCTTCTTCTTCACCGGGCTGCCAGTCCACTTTGACCATGTGCTTGAAGCTCCAGCCGAGCCTATCGCCTGGCCAGTCATCTTCCTCGACGAAGCCAAGGTCACCTCCGACCTCGTCCAAGTTGTACAGGAATAGCAGGGTCAAGGAGTCAAAAAGCACGTCCTGCACGGTCGGACTTGTTCCCACCACGATGTAGCAGGCCGCGCAGCACAAGAAGACCGTCCAGCAGTCGATGAACGCGCCAAGGTACAGAAATCCCTGGCCCTGGACCTCGAAGTCAGCTGTGCGCTTGAGGTACTGGAACGTGTTGTACAGCTTGAACCAGGTATCTTTGCACTGCACGACTACGAAGAGCCCGTTCAGGATGAAGAGAAACAGGAGCAAGGTGCCCAGAAGCTTCGTCGGTCCCCTGACCCTCCAGTCGATCAGGCTGTTTGCGGGATCCGTCGGGTCCCACACCTGTCGCGAGTCGTACATACCTCTGAGGTCGCTGCATAAGACACACGGCGGGCCAAGTATCTGAACCATGGCGATGACGCAGCAACCTATTAGGCGGGATCTTGACCTGATACCGCTCCAGCTACGAGACGAAGACTCTTCCTTCGGTATGTTCAAGGCGCCGAAGGCTCCAATACTGTACACATTTCCTTCTAACACATCGATGTCATTTGTCCAATCCTCATCGATTAGGGTAAACGCATTCTCAAGCAGCTCGGCACTAGATTTCGACTTCAATTGATAACGAGAAATGACACCCCCACCCCCGCCCCCGGAGCATCGGGAGGATCCGAGAGGACGGGCCTCGAGGCGGCAGCCTCCATGCACGCAGGAGCGAAACAGCAAGGGCGACCCTGATGAGGACTAGGAGGCACTAGCAAACGCACGTCAGGGGGTCGATCCAAGGGCGAGGGGGGGGGGGCAAAAAGGGCAAGGGCGGGGGTGCGGGGGGTGAGAGTGACAGAGGCGGCACGGCGCGGGCGGAGAAGGAACGGGAGGCGAGGAGGGAAGAAAACTAGAGAGGGCATTGGAAAGTAAGGATTTCCGCAAGCCCTGTAGGCTGAGGCGGGTAAGCACGTTTCCTCTTCCACCCACTCCATTACCTCCCTTCGGGGGGAAGGTTTTGCCACCCCCTTGCCCTCTCCCTCTGGGTCAGGGCGGACGGGGGGTTGTCGCGGGTAGGTCGAGCATCAATCAAGGGTTCGGCGAAACATGCAAAACCATTGCCTACCCCAAGTATTGGGCCCAGTCTGGCACCCTGGGGACGATCGAAAATACTTGGGGGATATCGTTTCTTCGACCCGTGGCCGCCAAGATCGCTCCATGACGGCCCAAAATAAACCAGGAGGGCCCCCAGAGGGCCTCAAGGACACCAGAAAAGCTCAAAGATGCTGCTAACAGGCACACCAGATATATGCCCATAAAGAGGCTCCCAAGCGGCCACCGACCGAGAAGCTCCAGGAGGCTCCCAAGAAGCACCCAGACGCCCCACGATGTCCCGACTACCGCCAAGTCCCCGAGACCCCCCAGGAAGAATCCAAGAATCCACCGACAGGCACCCCAAGAGACTCCGAAATCAGTCGAGCAGCCCCCTGCCCACGGAGGTTCCCCGATGTCTCCAGAAAGTGAAATGCCCCCCCGATCTGAACAACCCCCCAGCCACTCCCCCCTGCATGGATGGGCTGGCGGCGGTGCGCGAAGCGCTAGACGCTCACAACCCCGACCCTCCACATCCAACCTCCTCGCCCGACGCATCATTGCGATCCTCTTGTGGCTCATCACCCTCATCGTCCCCATTGCAATCCTATCCCCATTCCCTCCGCGATCCCCTCCCCCGTCGCATTGCACCTCCTCTCCTCATCCTGGCCGCCTCCCCCCGTCCCCATCATCATCATCACATGCCCGCCCTCATCCTCATCGCGTGTCATGCCCGACCCCCATCCGCTCCATCCATCCCCCGACTGACCCCCGCTGCAACCGACGCCCCCCCAATCACGCTCGTCCTGGCCCCCCAGCGCCACGCCCTTCCAATCCAGCCTCATCCTACCTTCCCGTTCGTAGCGGCCCTACCCTGATCCACGCCCTACCCCGCCCATTCCCATCCGAGTCCGCACTACCACTCCTACTCTGCACCCCGTGCCCCCCGTCCTAATCGGCAGCCCAACCCAGCCCGCCACGTCATGTCAATTCACATCCACGCGCAGCGGGCGCCGCACTCCACGACGCGCGCGCGCCGCCATCCCTGGCGCTCGACCCCGCCAGCTCGAACGAGAGCTGGCCGCCGCGCGACCGAGCGGAGGCGGGGGGCGGGCGCGGCGGGGAAGGTTGGGAGCGAGGTCGGAGGGAGAGAGCTGGGCACAGGGTGCCAGGCTGGCGGGGGGGAGGGGACGGGATGGGGAGAGCGAGGAGGGTGGCCGACCCACCTCCCGCCTCCGAGTGGAGGGCGGAGTCGCGGCCGCCACCGCTCACGACTGCGGCGCCGCCTTCGGGCGCTTCTTGCTCTTGGGGTCCTCTCGGCAGGCCGTCGCCGTCGCCGTCGCCGTCGCCGTCGCCGTCGCCCTCGCCGTCGCCGTCGCCGTCGCCGTCGTCGTCGTCGTCGTCGTCGTCGTCGCCGTCGTCGTCGTCGTCGAACTCCGTTGAGCTCGCCGCCGCCGTCGCCTTCACCGACGCCGTCGCCGTCGCAATCGCCGTCGCCGACGCCGTCGTCGTCGTCATCGTATTCATCAGCGTCGTCACCGTTTCGACTTCGTCACCCCCCCGTTCCCACCCCCGTCCCCCTCCTCAGCCTGCGCCTCAAAATCCCCCACTACGTACCACCATCCTCATCATCACCAAAATCCTCTTCATTCGCATTCCCGCCCCATCCTCGGGGCAGCTGGACGACGACTTCAGCAAGCGCAACTGGCCCCTGGCGTCGAGGACGGCCCGCTCCACCTTCAAGTCGATGCACTTCTGCACGCCCTCCTCGAACCAGCGCTTCGTCATGAACATCAAGTTCTCGATGGTCTCGGGCGCCACCTCGTACTGGTTGGCGGCGATCTCCTCCGCGGCCCACACGTCCATCGCCAAGGTGAACTTGTTGAGCAAGTCGCATATGGCCATCACCCTCTGGGCCGTGCTCATCTGGCTCATGCCCTCCACGACGAGCAAATCGTGGGCGTTGCAGTCCCCAGCGCGGTACACCACGCCACCGCCCGCGCAGCCAGGGAACTTGGCGATGATCGAGCGATTGAACCAATGCCCCTCCATGCACCAGCCTGTCACGCTGCACCTAGACGTGTATCCGCCCTGGCCCCAGAGCTTCGTGGCGATCCAATCCTTGATGTCGTCCATCATGGGGGCGACCGTGTAGCCGACGACGGCGTGGTTGACCCTGCTGTTCTCGAAGGTGCCGTCGTCGTACGAGGGCCCGTACACCACGGCCTGCCCGTAGTCGAAGGACGTGCACAGGCGCAACTTGTTCTGGCGGCGCAGCTCCTGGGCTCAGGGACCAGAAACGAGCTGGCGACATGGCCCCCCAGGTGACCTCGGGGTGTCTCTGAAAATTGAGGGAACGCGCGAAGGCAGAGCCACCCGCGACGCCGCCAGACATCAACCCCCGTTCCCGAAACGCCCATGAGAAGAAGTCAGGCCCCTCCCCGTTTTTTTTTTTTTTTTTTTTTTTTTTTTTTTTTTTTTTTTTTTTTTTTTTTTTTTTTTTTTTTTTTTTTTTTTTTTAAAAAAAAAAAAAAAAAAAAAAAAAAAATAAAAAAAAAAAAAACACACACACACACACACAACTTGACTCCCCCATCATTCCACGCCGCCACTCTGACGCAACCCCATCGCATCTCATCTCTGAAATGGCCCCATTTCCAAATCCGTGGCCGACCCCGTACTCCATGGAATAAGAAATCTACGCACGCTTTGGCGGTTAGCGTGGCACCGACCTCGCGCAACTTAGAATCCATGGGAGGGGGGGGGGGTGCACCCTGGCGCCATCCGCGTCGCGGATGGCGTTCCTCGATGCTGAACTGGAGCGTTGGCCCCGCGGCGGCGCTCGCCATGGCCGAGGGCCCGCTGCGGCGAAGGCGGGAATGGGCAGAAGAAAAAGGGTTGCCCTCTGATGTTGTGGCCAACGTGGGCTCTGGATACGAGCACGGGCGGGGGGCGAGCAACGGGCGGTGCCGTGACAACCTCGGACTGGGACTGGGCCCCCGCGGGTGAGAAGTAAGGTGGGCCGCCTGGGGGAACCGCTGGAGGGGGATGGAAAGGGCCGAGGGCGACGGCGAGGCGGGGTGGACCCGATAACGTTTTCCAACAACATCCGAAGCAACACAATCCATCCGCCGAGGCATCAGCTGCGTGGACGCCCGTCGCTCCTGGCCGCCCCTACGACCGAGAGCACCCCTGCAGGCTAAATAATGAGAATGGCATGCTCGCCCCAGGGTGCAACGGGACAAGATGGGGGACCCCGATGAACGCCCATGGACGTCCTGATGTTCTAAACTCCGAGTTGACACTTGCCAGGGGCCCCATCACCTAGTCACCGAGCAGCCATTTGATGGGGCAGTGGGCCAGGGGGAACCTATGGGCCTCAAGGTAGGCAACCCACGCGTTCCGCATGGTGTCTTTGAGGGCCAACAAAGAACTCCCCCCGAATTGCGCCCAGGTGGCACGACCATGGTGCTTGATGGCAGGCATGTTGAAACACCATGTGCCCGAGCCGTTCGCTCTCCACAAATATGTACCAGGGGGGAAAAAAACTTTCGCATCCTCCTGACTCATGTCGTCCGCTGGGGACGGGGGCCGATCGGGGAACTTCTGCTTGTACAAGGGGTGCTTCTTCGAGTTGGCGTTCGGCGGCGGCTTCCCGTGGATGCCGTGCTGTAGTGTTTCGATGGCCGCTCATGCGCCCTCCCGCCCTGGCCCTCGACCCCGCCTCCTACCATCCACGCAATCCTCCGCCACCGCTGCGGCATTCCCTCGCTCCCTCACCCTCCCGCCCCGAGGCCCCTGAGGTCCCGCGCGGCCCCCCTTCGGGCGCCCCCTGAACCCGACGCCCCATTGCAAGCCCGCCGCTGAAAACGGCCGACGGTGAAGCGATGTGTCCTCCGATCGGCAAGGTTTCGCGGCGGGGCGGGGGGCCGCGACTCGATGGCACAAGTACATTCGCCCCGCTCGCGTCGGGGAAACTGAGGGCCGCCGCGACGAAAGCAACATGCGACAATGAAGCAACCGAGCAGGCGGGAACACACATTACAAAACAACACAAAAGATGCAAGCATCCTTGAAGGTGTCGAAGTCCCTCTTGAACTCCGCCCTGGCGGCCTTCACGGCCCTGGCGGAGGCGACCTCCTGTTCGACCTCCTCGGACATCGCCCTGTCGAACAGCTCCGTCACCCAGTCGAGGGACAGGATGTCGCTCAAGCCCTCGGGCTTGTCCAGGTGCACCAGGCGGTTCTGGTAGGCGACCTCGATGTCCCCAGTGGTGCAGGCGGGTACGAGCTTCTTGCACAGGACGGCCAGCAGCTCGGCGGCCGTGGTGGCGGTGTAGGCGTACTCGTACACGTCGCACACCTGCTTCATGAAGGACGGCGGCAGGTCCCAGAAGCCCTCGAAGCACGCCAGCTGCAACAGGGGCCTCTCCTGGCCAACCATGCTCACGAGGATGTGCATGTCCCCGCACGCGTGCCCCGCCT